AGTTTTTCACAGGTGCATCAGGCTCCTGGGGCTATGGTTCTTTCTTCCAGGGTGCTTGGTCCTGTGAACCCTGGCTGGCCTCATGGGCCCAACTCGATTTGCTGTGTAACATGACGCTGTTGGACTTTCACTATTGTAGTAGCCATGGAATTGTGAGGGGAGAAATTGCGGGATAGGTTTGTGGTCTTTTGGACAGATAACATGAGCTTTGTCAAGGTGATTAACCTCCTCTCCACACGCTCTCTGCCTGTGATCTCCCTGTTGCGTTTTCTGGTGCTTAGATGCCTACAGTTGAATGTGTGGTTTCGGGCAAAATATGTCCCCGGTGTAGCTAATTCTATTGGCGACTCGCTTTCTCGTACACAGTTCGCCCACTTCCGCTCCTTGGCTTCGAAGGCTTCCCTGGTGAGCATTCCTTTTCCAAAGTTCTTGAGTAACCTTGCTTCCAACGCCTTTTATACCCTATCTGTGCCTCCTTCTCATGGAACACCTGGATGACCTAGAATAGTAGGATATTGTGAGCTACTATAGTATGAGAAAAATTCTCTTAAGGTGTTAAACCAATCCTGTGTTGTGAATAACTAAATTATAACAAAATACAAATAAAAATAGTGGGTTGCCTACACATTACACATACTCATACCAATGTGTCATAGCAAATCCAGAAATATAATAGTGTCGCGCTCCACTGACAATCAAAAATATGTGATATCAAATTCTGTATAAAAATACAATATCACTATTGCAGCAAAAAATGTCCTTATTTAATCCGTGACTTCACAATCCTTCTGGTGATGTAACAGAAAAGATTTGTGTGCAATCCACCATTAATAAGTTGTGATATCAACCAAATGTGCACCTACACCGGCTGTGCTCTCACCTGGTATATATGACCAAACCGTTAAGTGAGGTCATATAAGGCTTGTGTCCCTTTAATTGGAGTTAAAGCTGGATGGGAATGTCACTCTTTCAAAGTTAAGGATCCCCTCACTTCCTTAGAACTCTTCCTCCACAGATGTATGTACCATAAAGAGTAATGAAAAACATAGTGCCTTATCTTCTTTAAAACATTTATTAAACACTTTAAAACATTTTATTAAACAAATAGTAGTGCACTCACATGTAATTGTAGTTAAAACTGCTTTTAACTGCTATAAACATCAATCCACATTGTGCATTTGTAATCTCTGCTGTGTACTTGCTGTGTGTTGTCTGTCTCCTTAAGCGTCGTGACGTCAGAGCCCCAGCTTTATTGAACTTTCCAGAATGTAACAACATTCAAAGAAACTATATAAAAATGCCAGTCAAGTGCGACAGCGATGAAAGCTGAAAATTGGCCTGGAGTAGAAGTGCTTGGTAGGCAAGTGGTTAAAATCTACATCAGTGTTTGCTCACTCTAGACCTCATCCAAGATGGCCACTCAGCAAATTCCGGTCTACATCTGATGTCACTTTCTGACGCGTTTTTACTTCTGACTCTATTAAAGGATGTGCTCGTCAGACCAGCAGTCACTTAAATACTCTCCTTCCGTCCTAATGTGGGAGGCGGTCGCCATCTTGGAAAAGGGCACTCCTGTGTTTATAAACCTTAATACATCTTACTGGAGCCCTAAAATAGCGATAAACAAATACAGAGGTATAATAACCTCAATATTTAATGTAGGCAACGTTAGGGGGACAATCTACTAGTAATAAATATATCGTATAAACCCTCATTTACTTATAATTATGAACATATGGCAGCATGGTAACCACACTGCCCTCTAGTGAAGTTAAATGAGTATAAATATTAAATGAATTAATCCAAGCTACAAGTGATCCATTCTAAATTTCAGAATGAACGGAGACAATAATAGCCTATTTACGTTCATTACTTAATGTGGATGCACATATGGTATACACCATCCTGCACATAACAGTGTAGTATATCCTGACATTTGTAATCGGAAGTATTATTGGCTAAGAGTAACCGTTGCTATTCAACACTGGAGGATTGCTGTAGCCTGATTGCCATGTGTTATTTGGAGTAATAGTAGCCAGGAGGAGCTGGTGTTATCCCATGCTGATGATCTAGCTTGGTCCGGTAAGGTGCATGGTCTGTGAGGTGGTGGAGCATGGATTCACTTTTCACTGGTGGCATAATTGATGAGTGAAGGGAGCACAAGAGAGCACAATATTGAGGAATCAAATATATTATATTATATTGTGATCTTTTTAGAGGGTCCATCACCTGTAAAAGGAAGGACGGAAGAAAAGTCTATCTAGTGTGAGAATCCTGTTGGTGGAATGTGTTTTGAAGCGATTTTCAAGTAGTTAGAGATAACAGATATTTAGATGTGGACACATGGTGGAGTGTGGAGCACATTTACATGGATTTTGTAAGTGTGATTCGTAGTCACAATTGTGCGTGTGTTGAGGATAATACACTATGTACGTTTTATCTTTTTTTGAGGGTAACAAGTGTATGATGGAGTAGGAATTACGCACAGAAAGATATTGAACAAAGAAGAAGGAATAATTCATCACTTTGGGATTATTTGATTTAGAGACGCTGTCAAAGACTTTTTGTTTGGACTTTCAGGGAGAAAGTGATACCTTGGCGTCTAGGGTTGATATATTCACTTATTTATAAGTGGATACCGGTTGTTGATTTACTTGCTTTTGATAGTAGACCTAAAGCAAACAATTTGGTTGGTTTGCCAGTCCCCCTTCTTGCTACTGTAATTTAAATTTCAAACCCCTCATATACTCATCTCTCTTCTAGAATGGGTCCTCCTGAGTGCATCCAACTACTACCACTGTCACTTCCACCTCTCAGTTGCTGCTGAAGTCAAGTTCTGTTTGGAGCAGGAGCAGATAAGCTGCTCATGCAAGGTTTTGGCTGGAGATCCAAATTTTTGCACACAGTCAATAAAGTGCTGTGCATGTTTTTAGCGAAAGTCGTTTCATTGATCAACTTCCGGACAACCAGACTGTTGGGGTTTTTTTCACTGTCGACAATTATAGACACAAGAATTGATCTTTGTATTCTGCTGGTGTGGATGATGCCCTGCACCATCAGAACACAATACACTGCAGGACAGAATCCCCCATCACCAATGGCTGTGTTGTTGGGGGAATAGAGCAAAATTGCATAATATATGGCCTGCCTAAGTTATTAAAAAAATTAACAAAATAAATCATCCCAAGGAACATTACTTACAGTCAATGCGATGTGTCCCTTTTTTCTGCTATCTCCTGCTTTAGTTGAAATATTCAATCCTTCGTTTCCCCTACCCCCAACTGACGTAATCTTTTGTTGTAGTGGGGTTTAATAGAGTCAAGCAACCTGTCATATGCACTCATCAAAAGTGTTAACTATGCCTGCACTTTCCCTCCATCTCCTCTATTAACTGGAGCTCTACAATAGCTTCTAAGAATGAAAAAGGATCCATTAATGGAGGAGGCAGATATTTAATTCCACTGCCAATCTTTCATTCATACTATGAAGCAATGCCCCTTGAACTGATTTTCCTTTTTGTTAAAGCGGAGTTCCACTCAACCTATCAAAAAATAAAAGTCAGCAGCTACAAAAACTGTAAAACTGTAAAAAAAAACAGCCACTTACCTGTCCCTCGGTCCCATGGTGTGTCCCCCACAGCTCGTTTCACCGACCGTTCTGTATTCCAGGAGCCCGGCATCTTCAGTGTGGGCACCCGGCTGTGATATTTTGCGGCTTCACAGCCGGGTACCCGCTGCGCATGCGCGAGTAGCGCTGCGCTTCATGAATGGTCCTGTAGTTTTCTGGGACCTGTCACGTGTCCCGAAAAACGGGGAGGGAGGACACCTTCTGCTTCTGATCGCTTAGGCAATCAGACCGGAAGTGGGAGCGGGTACCTGTCAAATTCAGGTACCCGTCCCCCCCCCCCCCCACCTCCCAAAGGTGCCAATCCTTAATGGGGAGCGGGGGAGCAGTCCTTAAGCGGAACTTCCCCTTTTGGGTGGAGCTCCGCTTTAATTTGTTGGCTAAACTTTGGCTTTAAAATATTCATTTGTTAGGGGTGTATCCTGGCTGCTGAGAGGAATGGCTGCCTAGTTCTGCACCTCTGCACTGACCAGGGCATACACAGCGGCTCACAGCATCCTGGCTTCTCAATTTCACCTCCACGAGGGAGGCACAGACACAGGGCACACAGCAGGTTATGTCCCGCAAGAAAAAAGGAGCTCAGGGACCCCGCCAACTGACGGATTACTTTATGCAGCCGGCCTCCAGACAGAGCCCTCCTGCTCCACCACATACAGAGGGTGACTCACCACAGCAGACACTTTCTGACATGGAGGAGGAAGTTAATGTCTCCGCTCCTTCCCTGCAGGCTGACAGAGGTAAAAGAGCAGCAATATCCACTGTACACTCGCCTCTTAAACCTGCATCTGCTAAAAACTACATGGGACTGCCACAACACATAGTCATAATCTTTTGGCTGTACAGAGCACTGAATCACTTGCTGCATTCCCCACCTCAGATGCACCTGCTTCAGAAAACACTCTTAAAGCTATGCTTCTTACTCTTCAAGCTGACTTTCAGCATGAGCTACGCTCCTCTATTTCTCGATTGTCTAACAGAATAGATAACATTGAAGAGCATATGGAACACCTAGAATCCCAGCTCAATTTGCAGCAAAGGCACACGATGACAGAGCAGATGCATATGATGAGCAAACAGAGGCAATCTGTAAACTCCAACTCAAAGTTGTGGGTTTGGAGGATCGTTCCCGCCGCAAAACAACATTACGAGGTATCCCTGAAGCTGTTAAAAATAGTGATCTATTCGCCTACTTACAGCAGCTATTCATTAACTACTTGCCAACCGCAGATAGCCGAATGACGGCTACACTGCGGCCGGCCAGTTCTGGGAGGGTGTCGTATGACGTCCTCCCGGAACGCGCTCTCCTGCGCACCCCCGGGGGCGCGCACCCGGCGATCTCCGTGATGTCCTACGGACACAGCTGATCACATGATGTGGTAAAAGGCCAATCACAGCGGCCTTTTACCACGTGATCAGCCGTGTCCAATGACACACTGATCACTGGGAACTGGCAGTTGTCAGAGCAGGGATCGGCACCGAACATCAGGGCACTGATGATCAGTGCCCTGATGATCGGTGCCCAGCAGTGCCACCCACCAGTTCCGCCCACCTGTGCCCAGCAGTGCGCCCACCTGTGCCCAGCAGTGCGCCCACCTGTGCCAGCAGTGCACCCACCTGTGCCACCAGCAGTGCCACACATCTGTGCACACACACCTGTGCCCAGAAATGCCACCTACCTGTGCCCACCAGTGCCACCCACCTGTGCCCACCCACCTGTGCCCACCAGTGCCACCCACCTGTGCCCACCAGTGCCACCCACCAGTGCCCATAGTGCAGCCCAGAAGTGCTGCCAGTCAGTGCCCAGCGGTTGTGCCAGTCAATGCCCAGCAGTGCCGCCAGTCAGTGCCCAGCAGTGATGCCAGTCATTGCCACCTATCAGTGCTGTCTATCAGTGCCACCTATTAGTGCCGCCTATCTGTGCCACCTTATTAGTGCTGCCTATCAGTGCCCATCAGTGCTGCCTATCATGCCCATCAGTGCCGCCTATTAGTGCCCATCAGTGCAGCCTCATCAACGCACATCAGTGAAGGAGAAAAATGACCTGTTTGCAAAATTTTATAATAGAAACAAAGAAACTTTTTTTTTTCAAATTTTTTGCACTTTTTTTGTTTATAGCGCAAATAGTAAAGTGCCCAGCGGCGATTAAATATCACCAAAAGAAAACTCTATTTGTGAGAAAAAAATGATAAAAATGGGTACAATCTTGCATGACCGCGCAATTGTCAATCAAAGTGCGACAGTGCTGAAAGCTGAAAATTGGCCTAGTAAAGAAGGGGGTATAAGTGCCCGGTAGGCAAGTGGTTAAGCTTATCCCAGACCTCGCTCCTTGCGATTTATTGATGGATAGGGCCCACAGAATACCTAAGCCGGCACGTCTCCCAGACGCAGCCCCTAGGGACATCCTGGTCCGTGTCCATTTTTATCAAATCTAGGATCGTCTAATGAGAGCTTCTAGATCCATAAAATTGCTTTCCCCACTGTATGCAAGAGTGACCTATATATTAGGATTTGTCCGTAGCCACAGCTCAGAGGCGTAAAGAATTCGTTCCCATCACAGCTATTCTGAGGGAACGCAATATTGTGTATTGCTGGGGTTTTTCCGACCAAGCTACTAGTTTCTTATCAAAACCAACAAATGGCAATTGTCTCCCCTAAAGATGGACACAAACAACTGGGGAATAACAGCAACTTCAACAATGCCAATAAGAGCAATAAGGCCCGTGATCACCATTCATATAAATAATCTGCATAACAACATAACTCAAGTGCCTAACTAATGTTCTCACCTCAGGCCGTTCTGGATGCATTAGCATCACCTGTTCTCATACGCCTGGCAGTGTAGCCTGTTGCTACCTTTATTGTTCACATGTCCCAGGGTTCACGTGTGCTACGCACACTACTCTTTTTTTTCTGTGATTATTATGGTTGATTTCATCTGTCTAACAGCATATTTTATTTTCTTGTTTGTAAACCACTCGCACCTACCCAGGTATCTTCCTTGTTTGATCATAACATTTCTCTCTTGCTTTTCCTGCCACCGCCAGACCTAGATCACTATGACACTCCGCATAACTACAATTAACGCCAAATGACTTCATGGTCCCTTTAAAAGATTGAAATTATGGCAAGAAGCCCTGACTCAAAAAACTGACATTTTATATGTACAAAAGACACATTTTGCACAAGGGAAAGCCCCCACCTGTCATCATTGCGTATTCCCCCATTAGTTTTTCGCCAACGCCACCAAAAAGATCAGAGGAGTTATGATAGCTATACGCAACTCCAAAATGTAGAAGTAGATCCCTTGGGCAGATTTATTATTCTGTCGGCACTGCTAGACAATATGCCCCTTACAATAGCTAACATATATGCTCCTAAGACTCATTGTAAACCCTTTTAACAACTGGTTAAGAATAAACATTTGCAATATCCAAAAGATCGAGTGATTTAATGATATTCCTGATGGAGCCCTAGACTCCTCCAACACTCATAGATCCAGACCCTCAGCTCTTTCCTCATTCATACACGTAGAAGACCTATTTGATCCATAGCGGTGTCTCCACGGCATAGAAAGAGACTACATCTTTTACTCTCCAGCGCAAAAGTCTTATTCCAAATTGATGTCTTCCTTGTGCATAAGATTACGTTACAAGCTATAACCCAGGCAACCATCGGCTTAATCACGTTGTCAGGCCAAGCCACGGTAATCATCTCCCTTGCTCTCAAACCGGAAGGCCAACGACACAGCATAGAGGTATTTAATCTCCAGGCTGACGCACACTCTGTACCGGGAATAGATTAAGAGTGAAATTGAGTCCTATTTTAGTCTTAATATGGGCTCTGTGACAAATGAACTGCTTCTCTGGAACGCTCATAAATCTTATGTCAGGGGTGTCTATCAGGCTGGGTGCCCATGCGAAGAGAGACCGAGGACAGAATCTAAATTTACTCCTAGATCAAATACATAAAGTAGAATCTACCAATAAAGCAAGTCCCAATGAAACCAATACGACACGGTTACGCACACTTAGAGAAGAGTTATGTTCATTCCTTCACACCTCTTTAATCATCATATTAAAAAACTACACCTTAATTGGTATGCACATGGAAACAGACTGGGAGCACTCTTAGCCAAACAAGTCCAAAGCAAAGCAACACTATCTAAAATCCTATCCATGCGAAACTCGCAAGGTCAAAGTGTTAGTAACCCCAAAGATATTGCCAATTGCTTCAGCAAATTCTACGATAAACTATACAATCTAGCCCCCCCCCCCCCAAGCGAACAACACCCCAGATCCCATTCAGATGCAAACCTTCCTACAATCCCTCCGGCTTCCATCTCTCTCCCCATCCCAACTGGAAGAACTTAACCAACCCTTTTCTGATGCAGAGGTGGTGCGGGCAATCCACTACCTCCCTCTTCATAAAGCACAGGGACCAGACTGCTTTTGCAACGAGTATTTTAAATATTTCTCCACTCTGCTTATTCCACACTTTTGTAGATCCTTTATTCACTTCATGTCAACAGGAGACATACCAAAAGAATCCCTTGAGGCTTTAATAGTTACCATACCAAAGCCAGCAAAAGCCTCAGATGACCCTGCTAATTATCGACCAATTTCTTTATTAAACACAGACACGAAAATGTATGCACAAATTATAGCCACTCGCTTATCCTTGTTTATCTCCTCACTAATATCCCCTGATCAAGTAGGATTCATATCTAAATGCCAAGCCTCAGATGGAACCCGACAGGTCCATGACCTCATACAATGGGCGGAGCACCACAAAACGCCTTCTCTGCTCCTCTCGCTGGATGCAGAGAAGGCGTTTGACAGAGTACACTGGTCATATCTTACATCGGCGCTCCAACCATTCAGATTTGCAGGAAACATATTTCTGGCCATCCTAGCTCTTTACTCAAAACCATCTGCCAGAGTCTGGACTTCTGGTATCGCCTCAAACCCCTTCAACATTACTAACTGTACACGACAAGGTTGTCCCCTAACCCCACTCATTTTCACCCTAGTGATGGAGCCCCTCGCAGAAGCAATTCGGTCACACCCACATATCTCAGTCATACTAGTTGGCAATACTACCCATAAAATTGGTTTATATGCGGACAATGTAATTGTCGTAATGATTAATGCTACTCAATCCCTACTGGAATTATATGATCTCCTAACGAATTCAGTCAAATTTCACTATATAAAATCAATTGTTCCAAATCCTGCCTCCTTGGATCTGGATCCAAATTTCT